TGAGAAAACCTGAAGTCATTTTCAAGGTCCACCATTTCTTACTTCTTTTCAGTCAGGTCAAGTTTCTAAGCTTTCTAAATCTCTGTTTTCTGGCTAATGAAAAGAAAATAGGATTCCACCGAGTCTCCTATCTACCTTTTCCAGGACTTCTGTGAGGATCAAATGAGACGAGGCACGGGAAAACACTTCACAGACATTTGGTTAAAGTATAAATGTTTGCACCTGGCTATAAAGCAAGTTGTGTTCCTGGGCTGAAGAAACTGCAAGGAGGCTAGTTGCTAGGGAAAGGAAGCTGGATGTTGCTATGTGACATCATTACCTGGACAGACACTTAGAATATTAGCCTTTTATATATATAGATAAAAACCTGCTACTATAATTCTTTTTATTTTATTGATTTGAGAGAGAGAGAAAAAAGAAGAGAGAGGTGGGGCAGGCTGGAGGAGATTAATGTGGGGAAAAGGGGGCATATGTAATACTTTCAACAATAAAGATTTAAAAATAAAAGGAGAGAGAGAGAAATATTGGTTTGTTGTTCCACTATTTATGCATTTATTGGTTGATTCTTGTATGTGTCCTGACCAGGGGTCAAAACCACAACCTTTTGGTGAATCTGGACGAAGCTCTAACTGTGGTAGGAGCAGAGCAAGGATGATGGGCCAGGTACAGAAGGTCACCAGGGTGAAGGGCCCTGGGTGCCTAGAATTGGACAGAACTGGGAAAACAAAGACATGGCCCCAGGGTAACTCTTCCTCCCCTAGCACATCGCTGGTCATGGGGTTGGACCCTCCCCTGGCATGTTGCTAGTCATGCAGGTGAGGCCCCTTAGAGTGGGAATTAACAGGAGAATCTGAGAATAGGCCTTAAGCATTAAGCCCCCAGGACAATGAGGTTCTGACCAACTTCACATCCATCTAGGCCTCAGTTGTGTTTCAGCTCCAGGCCCAGAAAAGCAGGGAAACCAGACAAGAGACACCACCACAGCCGACCTCAGGACCAGCTGCATAGACTAATGGCCCTCTGCCCTGATGCCGACCAATCAGTGAAGACCATGACCCTGAGAGGGCGCACCTGGAATACTGATGAACAAGCATGTCAAACTCAAAGGCTAGTGTGGGCTAAATAAACTAGGAGTAAGTGTATGTGGCCGCAAAAAAACAAAAGCTTCAATTTTCATAGAAACGTAGGTTTATTTCGATAGAGACATGCTGAATACAAAGGGCTGAAATAAATGAGTCATCATTAACATAAAATAATAGAATATTTTAATAAAAATTAATATTTTTCTTGAACATTAACTCACCAGACACTGAATAACTACACAAATTAATAAGTGTAACGCAAATAAACCTCTTGTTCTCCAAAAGCAAAATATGTCCTGTTGCTCACACCAAACAAGTCAGTCCAAGACTAATGACATGGGAATCGGCTGCTAAAACATTCACTGAAATATTAGTGAAGAGAAATGGTGCACCTGTGTGTAAGGCATGTAAGTGAAACGAATGCAACATGATTATAGTAATCAATCATTAGCGAACTTTGTAGTTCGTTATTAATAACTAGAGGCCCGGTGCATGAATTCATGCAGGGGTGGGGTCCGGCTGGCCCGCCCAGATGGGAGCCAGATTGGAGCTGGGCAGACCCGGGAAGGGGGGCGATTGGGGGCGGGGCCAGCTGG